GAAAGTTTTTTAGAAAATAATATAATTGACAAAGCAACATTTACCAATCATGGTAATGTCAATTTACACAATTTACACTATTGGGAATCAAATAATTCCCATTGGATGAGAGAAATTGATCATTAATGTCCATGCAATATGCCAGTGTGTGGCATATTCAGAAATCAAATAATTGATCCATATTTTATTGATGGACAAAAGTACTTAGAAAATTTCTGTTAAATACTTTGCCAATTTTGCTGGAAAATGTGCCCTTACACATTAGTTTAATACTTTATTGTCGACATGATGGTTGCCTGGCTCATTATTCACATGAGGCACGTTAAAGGAGAAAGTATACAATAAAGTACCAACAACAGTGAACAATATGGAACAGCGAATTCTACAAGCATGTAGTGTAATTACAGTCAGCACAATCAATTCAGAATACCATTGATTCATTGATTCCACAATTATAAAATTGTGTAAGTGTTAATAATAGATATGACAGATAAATTTTGTTTTATTTCAATGAATTACCTCATGTAAAAGTAAATTTGTCTCATTTGGACCCAAAATAAAGTTACTTCTCCTAAATTATTCTTCAAATAATAAGTTAATGGAAATGATTTGGATATTTCAAATTATATTCAATTTTTATCTGTATTTCAAGTAAAATTTGTCCAACTCTAATATGTATCTAATCTACACGTCTGTGAAATAATATCAAAATAAACTTTTAACACTATGTTTTATTAACTGCATTTTATAAATTGTGATTTCTTTTTTCTGGTTGGAAATTAATTGTTAAAAAAGGCATTTATTCATTGAATGTTGAAGTTATTTACATTCCGCGTTTTTTTTTTTTTGTTTTTTTTTATTATGAATAAATTGTCCACTTTCGTCACAGTAAGAAATAGAAAACGCTAGTTACTCACATGGAGACACTATGTTCAAGCGTGTTATAATAAATGCGCAGTGAAAGTTTTACCTGTTCGCAAGAGCAACCTTAGAAATAGAATGATACAATTTCTCTTGTTTCAGTTGCGTAAGTCATATACTAAAATAATATAATATATTCTTCATAACTGAATGAAAAAGTTATATCTAATAGGAAAATCATTTTAAATGGATGGTGAAATTTTGTAATTTTATATACTTCTCTAATATAATGCATATATTGAATTGTTACATTAAATTTGTTTAAAAGATGTAAAATTTTTACAAAAATATGTTTCTTGTGTTAATTAATACAAAACAATTAATCCTGTTTATTGTTAAATTTAATTGTAATTTATAAATTATAATAAATATATTAAATTATGTTTACAATTATAATTGTAAAATATATGATGGTTTCAAATGATGTCAGTTGAAACAATCATACTTGTAAAAAGTAACATAAACTTGAAAAAATAATCATTCTTGTCATTTTTATTGTTAATACTGTTCTACAATGATTTTATACTATGGGTTTATACTATTCTACAATGATCTCTTTAATAAAATTGAAATATTGAATAGTATTGTTGTTACATTACATGAGAAGAATTAAAAAAAAGTATTTAGAAAGTTGAACTTGAAATGTATGCTTTATCAAAAAGTAATCAACATCAGAGTTTATGAAATTAAATAAGAATAATTTGTAAATTGCCAACAATAAAAATAATCAACACATGTTATCTTGTTTTGAAGTATATGAATATCAAGCAAAGTAAAATATTGTCTTTAGAACTTTGTAAGTCGCTAGTCGTGTGAATGAGATTACATTCTCTTTTATATAGCATGATATGTTCTAATAAGCATCGAGTTCTTGGGTTTTATCAAACAGTTGTGATAGTGGTTTAATTCTCTCAAGTAGCTCAAAATCTATTATTATTTAATCTTCTATTATCCAAATTTTTTTGTATAATATAAGTATTTTTATATTTACTTTTATTTGTATCTTTTCTATTAAAAGTTATAACACAATTAGGAAAAATTCACACAGAATAAAAATCCATTAGGATTTTAGATTTTAGACTAAATATGCAAAAAGATAATAATAAAGATTTAATTAATTCAAATAAATAGTTATCATAACGTATCGATAATGTTAATTTTATAGGGTATGAATTTGTTTTAAATTGCATTTATATATAATTAATTTGTATATAATTTAAGTAAAGCTTCTCTTTTTATTCTTAAATCGTTGCAAGCCGTTTAACGTTGAGGTAAATATCATATTTATAATAATATTTACAATCATGTCTTACTATTCACATAGTAGAATAACGGAAAGATCCTCCTTTCCAAAGAGATCTATGGTCCGGGTTTTTAGTGGGTGTGGTTCTTTCGATGTAGGTTCGTGTTACAGTGGAAACAGGTTCTCTTAAAAAGTGCAAGTGCATTCGTTGCCCTGGTGAACGTACTCGGTTATACTCGGTGAACGTAAGAGTCCACGTGGAGTCTGCCTGTCAAATGATTCAGGTTTCTATCGGCAGTTACGTTATCAAGTTTTATCTTTTTGTTTGGTATACTGTGCTTTTTACTTTCATTTTGATCGATTATCTTTGCGTTGTTTTTGCGCTTCATACTCTTATTATTATTATTATTATTATTTTTTAGAAATTATTTTCTATACGCCCCGACAATCAGAAATTTACGTGTATTAAATTTTTGATGTTTCGAAGGATTAATGATATTAAAAATGTTTTCAATTTCGTAAGGAGAAGTAAATTTGGCCTCAAATTGAAATGTTTCTACTTTCTAAAATGGCCCTAAACAATTCTATGGCCCAAAAATATTTTTGTATCATGTGATAAATGCGAAAATATAATATAAAGACAAAAATGTAACAAAATATATTATATAGAATTGGCATAATTTCAGTAGTAGGTTCAGCACACTAGAAAGTAATGTTCATATAAACATGATCTTGTTTCTAGAGAATGGAATCGAATTTCTGTCTTTCAATAATTCCTTTGATAAATTCAGTTCTTCGTGTAATTAATATATTATTTATAAATATTGGCCATAAACGAATTGACAATGGTCAACAATAGTTAAATAGTAGACAATTTTGATCGAGTTAGAATCTCAATGACAAAACACTTATACTCGAGCCAAATATGATCATTTCGAACAATTTCAGGTAAATAATACGATATAAAAATGATATAAAAATGATTGAAAAATGTCAGATCATTTATCATATAAATTTTTTCCTTATTTTAATGTTTCTGAATCCTATCCTGTTATCTTGTTTTATTTTTGCAATTATAATTTTTATGTCTAGATTTGTGAGATATAAAACGTAATCGTGTAACATTAATTCTTTATTCTCTTCCTGTTTCTTAATTCATTGCTGCAAATGAGAACTATAACTGTCAGATTTTTTATCGATATGTTGAGCAAATGATGTATATATTTTTAACAGATAACTTTCTTTAATGGTATTTAACACTAAAATTACTAAAATGATCAAAATAATCAATTTATAATTTTTTAAAGTAGTTCCACAGATTTACAACGTTACGATTTTAGAGATTTAAATGATTCTTGTAAAATATACGAATAAGAGTTCATGTTTTTTATTATATTACTAAACTTCCTCCTACTATTGCATTTTAATTTTTATACTTTAGTCATCGATAGTTCTAGTGTTAAAAATTTAATGTCTTGAATATTATGAATTATATATGAA